CCTCTGTTCTCCTGATGGGATCTTGGGCATGCACACACACTGCCCAGTATAATCTTTAAGCCACCAGGTCCGGGACTCGAACTGTGGTCAACTACGTGGGAGTCCAGTGACATAGCCATTATGCTAACCACTGGTCCCGAAAAGCAGATGTATTCTTTCTTAGGATTTATATATATTTATATGTATATATATATATAAATGGTGAAAATGTTCCCATTAATTCCTTTCCAAATGACTACCAGAAATCCTGTTTCTGATGCAAACGTCCTCTCCTATCAGCTTTTCAGATATGACTCATATGTCCAGAAGAACACAAAAGAAGTATGGGGTTTCTCAGAGTCCAAGTAAGAGTTTTTTGGGGTTTTGTTTTGTTTTGTTTTGTTTGAGAGAGAGAGATTTTTTGCTATGTGCATTCGCTGAGAGACAAAGAGTGAGAAATCACCCCCTCCCCCCAGGGGAGATGGCCACACCACAGTCCCTTCTCCTTCATTCTCCTCTCAGGATTTTGGGCTTGCATGTACACACACCCCATGTGAGTTTCAAGCTGCTGGGTCTGGGACACAGTTAGCCCTGTAGGAGCCCAGCTACATAACCATTACACCATCTGCTGATCCTAGTAAAAAGTATTCTTAATAAAGAATAAGTTAAAAAGAGTAGAAAGAGAATATGACAAGAGAAGCATTGTTTATGTGAATGGGTTGTAACCTTTCTCTGAGTCCCCGCATGCCTTGTCTCTGAAGCACCTGCAGATAAGAATAGGTATTTAACTGGGAAAAAAGTTGGGAAGCCATTTAGTAAAGTTCAATGACTTAGAATAAGACCTCTTTTAGAATGTATTAATGATAAATTTGCTAAAACTTATCTCAGGTCCGTGGCTCAATGGGATCTTTCTTACATATTAAAGAAACAATCATCATGACCAGTCCAGGAAGGAAAAGTTTATTGGTGAAGGAAGGACAGCATCATCGTTTTGTTCAAGAGGCTATTCTAGAAAACCCATTTTATTGGTGCTTGTGCCAATGTCTCTTTTTCCTCACTCTGTAAATAAAAATTAGAATGGATGACTCTATATTTTCTGAATGGGAGATGTTAAATATGTTTTTTTCAGTTTCGCTCTTATTGTCTTGAGATAAGGCATTATTTTGCTCAAGAAAACTTCCAGAGACAGGGAGAGGGTCTTCACATAAAATAAATAAAATGTAGGCAGGGAGGAAGGCAACCCTATAATGTTGATAGGATAGTATTTTAAATTCTGACTCAAGGAAATCGTTGTTTTGTTATTAATAGTAGAATTAGCATAAAGTATAAGCATCCTTTTAGCCTGATAGTCTTCTCAACAATACCTCTAAACATATTGAGCTCTAAATACATTATTTCTGAGTAATTTCTCCTCAATGAACTCTGCTGAAATTTGCATAACTTGCCATTAAGGAAAAGGCAATTATTCATATCTTTATCAAGTTGAGACTACATGAATTAATGCCTACTAAAATAACACCAAACTCTCTCTTAATGAAAACATGGCCAGAAGGTCCAATTCTCAAAAGTAATAGCATTCTTTTACCTAATGCTGTAACCACAAATAATGGTACTATGTAATTTTAACACAAATGAATTTGATGACTCATTTTGCTGGTATTATATTATTAGATCTATTAAATATATATTTTTATTAAATATTTTCTCTCTATATATTCCACTCCCAATTGTGTCTCCTCATGAATAACCATTTTATGTGCTTTAAGGTGTACAGATTTTTTTTGCTTTAAGCCATTTTAATTATTTTTTCTTTTTTATGGGGAGGAGGAGGTTTGCTATAGGGTATGTGCACTTGCTGGAAAGAGAGAGAGGGAGAGAAAGTGAGAAATCATGCCTGGGGGCATGGCCACTCCACGAACCCTTCTCCACTTGCTGGTCCCAAGCCATTTTTTATTTTAAACTACTTTATATGAATAACATAGAAAAAGCTGTACATATTTAGCACATGCACCTCAGTGAGTTTTAGGATAAGTATACATAAAACTATCACCACTATCAAAACCGTAAATATATCACCTTCTTAACTTTTCTCCCACCCCCTCCATGTTTATTGCCCTTTGGTTTTTGTTTTGGAAATAACATTTAACATAAGTCTACCCTCTTTGCAATTTGAAATATACCATACAGTACTGTTAGCTATACTGTTGTTAGATATTGTACTGCAGTGTACAGTATCTCTAGAACTTGTTTATTTTGCATACTTGAAACGTTGTACCCTTTAGCCAACGTGTTCCCATTTCTCCCTCCTCTCAGCCCCCGACAATCACCATTCTACCCCTGCTTATAAGAGTTTGATTTTAAATTCCCTATAGTAAAATCATGCAGTACTTTTCTGGTTTATTTCACTTAACATAATACCCTTTTTGTCCATACATCTTGTCACAAGTGACAGGATTTCTTTATTTTCTTTTTTTAAAGAATTATTTAATTTTATTATTATTATAATTATTATAGTTTGCTATGGGCCACGTGCACCCACCAGAGAGAGAGAAAGCCACTGAGTCCCAGACTTGAACTGCAGTCGGCCATGCAGGAGTCCAGCGCCTCAACCACCATGCCACCTGCTGACTTCATTTTCTGAGGATACACATACACACACATATTCATGCACACACACACACACACACATGCACACACACACACACACACAAAACTTTATTTAATCATCCATTGGGGACTTTTGTTTCCATATATGGTTGTTAAGAATAACGTGACAATGAACATGGAAATACAGATACTGCTCTTTAAGATCCAAATTTCAATTCCTTCGATATACACCCAGAAATGACATTGCCGGGTTCTATTTTTAACTTTTCAAGGACCCTCCCCCAAACTGTTTTCCGTAACTACACAGATTTAGATTTCCACTAACAGTGTACTATGGTTCCCTTTTCCCCACATCTTCATCACCACTTATCTTCCATTTTTCTATTAATAATAGCTATCGAAACAGATGTGAGGTGATATCTCACTGTGGTTTTGACTTACATGTCACTGATGATTAGTTATCTTAGTTCTCACATTGCTAGTAGAAATACTTGAGCTTTGGGATTTTATAAAGAAGACAGAAGTGTATTTACAAGCTCACAATTCTGGTGGCTAGAAAGTCCAAAGTCCCAGGCTTTATAGCATGGCTGATGGAAGCAAAGATGGCAGGCACATTTAAAGAGAGAGTGAGGTCCTGACTAATCTCTTTTTCATAATAACCAACTCTGGAGAGAACTAACTCTTTCTCAAATGAGCTGAAAATTATTGAGTTTCACAAGACATCATTAATCTATTCCTGACACTCTTGCCTCCATGAAGCAACCATCATGAATCAGTCATCATTTAATAGGCCTCACCTTGGGACACCACAAAGGATTTAAGTCTTCATGTAACACCTGTATAATATGATGCTATCAAAATCCATCACATGAATTTCTGTTGAACATATTCAAGCTATACCATTCCACCCCTGGCCCTCCAAATTTATGTACTTCCAGTTGTCATCCCAATGGTCTCAAAAGTCTTATTGGTTCCAGCAATAACTCCAAAGTCCAGTCTCATTTGTAACTCAAGACAAACTCCTTCCTGCCTATGAAGTCAAAACAAATTACATACTCTCAAAATACAATTGCAAGGGACCAGCAGTTAGCGTAATGGCTATGTCGCTGGACTCCCATGTAGTCGACCATGGTTCGAGTCCCGGACCTGGTGGCTTAAACTCACACAGGGCATGTGTGCATGTGTGCCCAAGATCCCAAGAGGAGAATGGAGGAGAAGGGATTGCGGCATAGCCATCCCCCCTGGGGGGTGATTTCTCACTTTCTGTCTCCCTGTCTCTCTGTCTGTCTAGCAAGCACATGCGCCCTATAGCAAAAAAGAAAAAAAAAAAAAAAACTCTCAAAAAAGATAAAATACAATTGCAGTGAACCAGCAGGTGGCATGGTAGTTGAGGTGCTGGACTCCTACATAGCTGACTACAGTTTGAGTCCCAGACCAGATGACTTTCTCTCTCCCTCTATCTGGTGAGTACATGTCCCTGATAGCAAATTTTAAAATAGTGATAACAATAAATAAAATTAAATAATTATTTTTAAAAATTCAATTGTAGATCACTGTAGGGTAGAAATTAACATATTACTGGGAAGAAAAAATAATAGGCCCCAGCAAGTCTGAAAAACATGTAGACAGACGTTCAACCTTTGAATTCCATGTGCTACATCCTGGACCCACAGAGGATGTTGGAACCCCAAAGCATCAGGCAACCTTGACGTTGCTGGACTCAGTTCATGTTTCAGCTCTTCCCAGTTGGAATTTCATACCTATAATTCTTCCAGACCAATGCTATGTGCTGATGACTCCACAGTGTTTGGGTTTCCAGAACTATCCCATCTCTTCAGATCCACTGGACAAGTCCATATTGTGGGTACTCTCTGCTCTGATCCCACATTTTCATGTGACTTGTTCTAATGCAAGCCCTCTGCAGTGGCTCCACCCTCATAGCAGCACTCTATTAATTTCCAGGCTTTCTAATTCATTCTTTCTTCATTCTTTAAATTCTAGAGACTACTATGCCCTCATAGCTCTTGCATTTTTCCCATTGCCTGAGCTCCCAGATTGGCAGCTGCACCAAGGGTTGCTCTAATCATGACTGAAACAACCAGGCATATTAGAATATGATGAATTCCAGGCTACAAAAGGCAGTATACTCACCCTGGGTCCTTTCCTGGAAAGTATTTTGCACTCCCAGGTTGCTGAGCTTGTACTGAGAAGGGCAACGCCCTCCGAGCTTTTCTGTCATTGTCTTGACCATTTTTATCTGAATCCCTTCTATCACAGATAGTAATCTTTTTAGTAACCACTCTCTCCACCACACTTTCAGAGTTCTGTGTGAAACATGCTTTTTCGTTCTTTGCCACATGGCCCAGCTGTGGATTTTCCAAAATTTTCTGCTCTGATTCCTTTTAATTATCAACTCTACCCTTAAGTCATGTTGGTCCTCATTTTCCTATGGATTCTCCCCAGAATGGCCTTCACTGTCCATATGTCTATCAGCAATATGGTCACAGCCACTTGTGTTATCTCTAAAGAGCTCCAGTTCATCTCTAAACAGTTCTTCCATGTTTCTACCAAAATCTAGACTTTTCCTAGACTGCCCCTTGACACTTAAAATCCCTTCTCATCACCCAGTTCTAAAGTCATTTCCACATTTTCAGATATCTGTAGCAGCACACTCCTGTTCACTTTGCCAATTTCTTGGTCCATTCTTGTACTGCTAACAGAAATATTCAAGTTGAGTGATTTTATAAAGAAAATAGATATTGATAAAATCATGATTCTGGTGGCTGGAAAGTCTAAACTCCTGGACTTATGACATAGAGGATGGCAGGCATGTGCAGAGACAGAGGTCCTGTTAGACCTCTCTTTCATAATAGTGAGAACTCACTCCTCAGGAGAGCTAGAACTCACTGGATCTCGTGCAATATCATTAATCCATTCATACTGACTGCTTCCATGACACAATCACCATAAACCAATCAATGCCTTCTGGGCCAGGAGTCTCTATCCCTTTGTACCAGTCTGTGGCCTGTTGGGAACCGAGGGCCATGCAGCAGGAGATGAGCAGCAGGAGAGTGCACTAAGTTTCATCAATATTTATAGCCTCCCCCCTTCACTCACATTACTGCCTGAGCTCTGCCTCCTGTCAGATCAGCAGCAGCATTAGATGCCCACAAGAATCTGTGTTGTGAACTGAGCATGTGAGGGATCTGTAACAGGTTGTGCTCACTTATAAACCAGCCCTTGCAACTCCATCTGTAGAAAAGTCATCTTCCACAAAACCAATCACTGGTGCCAAAAAGATTGGAGATTGCTGTCCTAGACCTTACCCTGGGATACCATGAAGGAATTATGTTTTTACTTAATACTTTTATACTGCAGACGATACAATTAACTGCCAACACATGAAT